ATTCAACAATGGTAAGAGTCAAGTGGTTCGAAGATGAGTTCACAACAACGGCAACACACCTTGCAAGGAGAAAAGCTAAATTACCTTCAAATATTTTTTTTTCTTTTGACAAAAACATATTTGAGCGTGAGCTCTCTGTCAATTGGTCTGTTCTCGGAACGAAGGACAAGGTATGCTGATGAATATTCGTGTGAATGAAACAAAAAAAAACGTTTTTTTATCCAAAAAACGATGTTGAAACTCAAGTTTGGCGCATTGGAGAGGTGTAGGTCTATAAGTGGCGTTCAGCCAAATGTTGTGTTTGGTAATGAAGAAAAAAAAATTTGCAAAAATGATGGTAAATGATGTGACACATCGTTGTTGCCTCGGAAATAGGTAGATGACCAAATGAACTATCGGAAAGCTGATTTGAACTTGAAAGTTCGAACGCCAAGGACAATTATCAGAAGTAAAGGTCAAGAACAAATGTTCTAATGATAAAGGAAGATTTGGTGAAAAAAAAATAAAATACAAAGAGAGAAAGAGAAATGAGAGAGAGAGAGGACGAGAATGGAATGAACATGGGTAAGAGATGAGAATAAAGCTTTATGAAGAGTTCAAGCTAATGGCTTAGAGGTATGCGATTAAAAGCGAGGAATGCGTAAGAAATCAGAAATGAAATCGGCCCAATTACTGTTTGAAGGAAAGGTGCGGATAAAAGTAGGATAACAAAAGCGAAATCAGGGAGATATGTATGAAAAATGGGAAAATCTTATTATTTCTTTCCATTTATGAAAACATTTATCAATCTGATAATCATGACATAACATGCGTCTAGAGTTCGGGTGGGGGAGTTTTCAGAACTTCGATCAGTTCAAGTAATACAGATCTAGTCTACATCTCTTTCTATCTCTCTCTATCACTACTCACATCTCTTTATCATAAGTTATCAAAGTGAGAAAATGAAAAATGAATAATTAAGAAAAATCATATTGAGCGAGTTAGCCTTCAAGTCAAGCTCCATCTTGTCTCTCGACCACTGTCTTGCCTGTGGTGAACTTGGGGATTCGGGGAGGTCTCCACCCCTTTCCTTACCTTTGTCCCATATAGGGGAAGACCAAATGCTATCCAAGGTCAAGTTTAAAAGAGGAGAACGAGGAAAAGATGACTTGGGCATCATCGCGATAGAACAGATTTTGCAATAGAAAGGCAAAAGCTTAAAAAGGAATCTCTGAAAGTAAAGTAAGTCAAGGAGGAGGACAGATAGCTTTATAAGGTGAACAGGTGTTGATAATATGAAGACAACATGTGATTATACTGTTCAACGATTACGAAATGTTCAAAATACTTGTTAAGTTTAGGTCAGATGGTTGTTAAGCTGTTTATGGATATGAAATACGAAGTGTATGAGTTGATTCGCTCATAAAATCTTTTAAAAAATACTGTTAAAGAGAGTTATAGAAAGATCACAAACACGCCAATCACGAGCAATTACAAGTAGTAGACCAAGAAGAAGAAGAAGGAGCAAGGTAATGGATCTGATCTCTTCAATTGAACTGAAAAACGAAAATGATGATTTTGCTGGTCCCTCCACCGTCTTTTCCCCCCCCCCCCCCCCCTTTTCCTTGAAACTGTATTTGTGCCAATGAGTGAACGTACTGTTTTAGCACATCATTCTGTACCACTTTGTAATAGTCGAGCATTCTCTCTTGTGGACGCCAATGACATTAATTTCACTCCCAGAAATGGACATTTTGCATCTTGAAAATAGTTGTATGTTTCACAGTTAAGTTTGATCGGGTCAGTGTTTGTTAAGAGTTGTGGCATTTATCAGTAATTGACAGACGAATGTCGGATATGAACGAAGACGACCTTATGTGCGCCGGTTGCGGTCATCAGAAGGGCAACACAACTGTTCATGCCGATGACGATGGACATTACAAGAGAAATATAAATGTGAAACCTTTTAGGAATTTTAAGTAAAGAGATAACAAAAATAAATTTCGAAAAAGATCCTCGGCCATGACCATGAAAGTCTCCAATCCCATTTTCAAGTTAACGTCCTTTCCGTTGTTACAAAGAGAGAGAGAGAGAGAACGTAAAGAAGATGAGAGAGATTGACAAAGTTGAAACAAAAAGAGATTGTGATGTTTGAGCATTATCCTGCCATATGTTGATTCAGGTAATTGGTATGATAGGAAAAAACTTCTTTTTTTTACAGAGCTCATTAGAAGCCGAAAAACAAAGTCGTTTAAGGGTCAAGGCAACCCAGTGCTTGCCACTGACTCATAAGCAAAGTGCAGTCTTTTTCATCAACATAAAAGCACTTAAATTACAGAAACCTATGCGCAAGGAACAGTTAAATAACAGCGTTAACTATACAAATTATGCCATCATATCAAGCCCATATACGGTTAATTATCGTACCAAGGTCTTTCTCAAGACTCAATCAAGCTCATCTTAAACGACAAAGGTCACAATTGTCTTACGTAACTCAATTGCAGAAAAAAATTTTTTTTTTCGTCACTCTCCCTCACTCACTCTACTTGTAGTTTGAGTTTTTATTTTTTCTTTTTTTATTTCTTCTTTTTACAATTCACAAATACAAACATTATATTTTTATTTATCTAATTAATAGTCCGGCTTATTCTTTTTGTCTGAATGATATTCATCTCTTAACTACAACATAAGCCGACGAATGACGTCATGACCGCCAAATGATGGCTCCATAAGACAATTTCGGTGTGAGAAAATGAAGATTATAATCTTTTTTTCTGATTATCTATGATGGATATGAAATATCATGACAACATTGACAACAAACTGAGCAACAACGAGCATCAATTGCTATTTCAGATATGGTAACAACACAAAGGAAATCTTTATTTTTTCCGGATGAACGAATTAATGTGTTTAACACTTAGAATAACACAACAAAAAAAAAGATGAGAAAATCCTCTCTTTATAACCTCGACCTTCAGACGTTCTGAAGTCTTTTCCTTTGAAAGTTTCAAATGTTGTTCACAATTACATAATGGTATCATTAATTGTATGCAATATTGTGTCCTCTTTCAACTTGAAATTAAAAAATCATTCGTAAACGTCGACGGTTACACAATAACCGTTAGATGAGGGAAGAGAAGTATGAACAACCGCTCTGCGCGTCTTCAGAAAATTAAAATGGCTGTTCCGTTACTGTTTCACGCATTCCACGTATCTCACGTATCCCACGTATGCTAATGCATATATTATCGAGATTATAATATGCTATTCACCCTTTGAACTAGATCTGACACAATTCACATACAAAAAACTAAGAACGATAACTTTTCAGTTCATACCGCTTGTAACTTAGAGCTTAAGGAGTTAACATGCCAGCGACGGGATGGAAGCTGTGTCAAGGACGGACATTACTCGGTCGTGTGATGATCAAAGTCAGTGTAATCATTGTTTTTTCTTAAATACATTTGTAAACGTCATACAAGTTTTTCTTGTGTCTGTGTGTGTGTGTGTTCGTGTGGTGTTAGTGCTTTGAATCTTTAAAGTTCATAATATGAATCTTTTGATCATGTTCAGTGTTATAGAACGAAATGCAGTTATGATCTCTTATATAGTTCTTTCCATTATGAGAACGTTGGAAAAACGATTACATGAGATTCTACCAATTTACATAAAAAGAAAACAAAAAGATGAAAAAACACCTCCCACCGGCACCACAAGGTGCCACGTTCAACAGTTTCGTGCAATTTAAGAAAAAAAAGATGAAACGAACAATCAGCGTCAATATAGAAAAACGACGAAAACGATGTCTAGGTGAAGGTCTTTCATTCCATTTTGGGCTATTTCTCGAAATTCTCCAGCCGATATCACTATTTGTGATCATTTCACACATACGATGCATTACAATGACTTCATTGTACGTATGAATCATTAATATCCAAAAAACGGTTCCCCTTCATGATCGGATACTCTCAAGCAGCTCTTCTTCCGTGTTATGATCTCAAATCAGAGGGTTCGTGAGAGCAAACGTCTTGATTCTGAGAATCTGGGATGAGCACAGAGACGTAAATTTTGAAGCATCAGTAGTTCAGTTGTCCTTCTGAAGATTTTCGGACCAGCTGACGGTAGCATGGCTTGCAGCTTCAAAAACCGCCAATCGTCATGAAATGAATGAGTGGCTGCTATTCCTGAGTCACAATCTGTTCATGTTTTTAAAAATAAATTTCGAGAAAAAAAATAGCCGTATCAATACCATACGGATCATTAAATTCAAAATATTTTTATATTTGGCTGGCTTGTTGTGTGAATTCATTGAAATCTACATATGACCTGCTGACCAATGAGTCGCAGAAGAAGACAATGTTTAGAAAACGGCTAAAATAACACGATTAAAATCAGTTGTTGTCGGGAGAAGTAAATAAATCAACCGAAAGGGATTTCGGATTGAAACCGTTCGATAAGCCTTAATCTCACGAAAAGACTCCAAGGAAGAGCAGCACATACACACAGGTCGAACCTTGACCTGGGCGAAGTGCCTTTGGCTTGATTGCTCCAGTATTGAACCATCGATGATTGACGTAATAAGTTGGAGACGATAAAATCTGTAGCCTTCACTTAATAAAAAAATCGAAAGCTGAAGTTTCGGGGATCTGAATAGATTAGTGGAAGAAAATCATTTAATTCCTTTACCGGACATCACAGACAATGTTCCATTAAATACGAAACTCGTATAACAAAAAAATAAATTAGTCATCATCTATAAATACGATGAATATGAGAAAGTATTGAATATGTAATTACAAAACATCGTAACCCCAACCCGGGAATTAACTTAACAAAATCTATGGGAAATAGACTATCAAGTAGAAAGCAGTTGTGGTAATCAGTAGCCGGAGACTCACTTCGGATCAAATAATGTTAAAAAACGGGATTTGAGAAAAAGAGAGGCACATGACTTTAAAATACAGTGAACTGATAACAGACAAGTTGAAAACATAAACTTTACCTATACCCCATGTCCTTTAAACAACAGTTCTAACTTCGAAGAAGCGCTTCAGATACCATACTTGTCCTAAAGTCATAGAAACTAGTACAACAGCTTCGAAGATGGCCCAAATAACTACACGGCTATTGGTATTTTCATTGACTGAAAATGAGTTTGCATGAAGTTTGAACAAACATGGCATGAAACTTACTTGATCGATGGACTCTTTCTCTAACTTCCATATATTCTTGCTCGTGCTTGACGGACATCAAAGCAGTGGAAAGCTCACGAATCATTTCCTCAAGTTTTTGGCTGTCGGCTGAAATGCAATAATTTGAGTTTTATTGATTGATTCCAAACTAACCGGCATCTTGATTAGGGGCTGCGCCGGGAGCTGCGGCAGCATGAGGTTCGACAATATCTACAGTGAACATAACAGCCTATAAGGTTGTTAGAGAATGAGAGATGCAATCACTGAATCGAAAAACCTTTGGAGTCATTGTGCTCATTTTGTTTCCAAAACAGTAAGTATAAACTCCATCCATATGAGCGGCGAAAGTGTATTTGCCAGAAGATTCACGTTCTCCCTTGTAAATTTCTTTGTTATCAGGGCTCACAATCTATGAATGAGTGGATTTGAGCGAAGAAAAGCTTCAGTTCATACTTTCACGTCGATGTCCAAAAATCCTCCTTCAGCAACTTCGAAGATCAAACCCATCTTGGTTCCGGTTAATACTCTCTCGAAGAAACATTGCTCCTGCAACACTCTCATGAATTATCATAATATTACTAAATAGACACCTCATTCGCATCGATGTGAATGAAATAAGCAGAGGATGATCCAAGAAGGGCAAACACAAATAGCCAATTAAGCATTTTATCCCTGTAATGGTGTGAATATGGCCGTTTTAACCGGAACAAAGACAGATAAAGTCACAAACACATGAATAATGGTCTTGAAGTGATAATCGAATAAAAAATCTCAATTTTATCATATAAATTACAGATTAAAACATAAAGTATGTTATTTGAATCGTAGTTTACGTGTCTATTCAGTGTCCAACTTACGTTGTACGCGAAATATTGTCCTGCCGCGAAAGCAAATAGACCTTTAACACACATTGTTGGCCGTTGCTTTCTGACCATAAAACTGTTGCAGAATGATGTTAGAAACGTTTTATTCATCGAAGAAAAAAAAGAAAAAAACACAAAAAAGCTGAATTATTATAATTTCATAACGAATCCTTCAAATCATCAATATACAAGGAATAAGCTTTAACGTTTGCATACAAACGGTCTTCGGAGAATACAAAACTCGTCACTCCATAGCCCAGACTTATCCATTTCAATGCAGTTTTCATTGTGATTTCCGTTATCTGGCTGGCCTGGAACAAAGAATATATTGGAATATGATCTTGTTAGCCGTTTAAACCTAGCTGCCAGTTCCGATAAGTGTAATTGAAGTTACCCGGATTGACGAATATATTCTCCCGTTGTACATCATTTAGTCCAATCCATGCGCCTTCGTCCAGAATAATTCCTGGAAAGTTAATGATGATAGGAATGAGAAAGAAGATATTGTTTCACCTGCAATCATGGTGTTCTCTTCATCAGTTTCTATTGCAACCAAATTTCCTCCCCATTGAACACATATATCTTGAGCATGATACCAAGATTCTCGGCTCTGAACGTAACTCAGTCGAAAAGCTCCTCAGTATCAAGACTTACAGAGACATAGATATACTCACGATTATTGTATTTGTAAATCTTGACTGATAACAAATCCACTCGTTTCTAAATTATAAATAATAGATGAATCGATATGAACCAAAAAAAATCAAAATTTTACACAAAATCGTAACTTCAAACATTAAATTAACCTTAAGCTTTCGGATCTCTTGTTCGATGTGTCGAGTACTAACTTGTCCTTCCTTCTCCAATTTCATTCGGAAATCAGAATCGAATCGAGTCTTCAAATGACAATCTCTTTATATTCCTTTTCATATTTATTTTGTTTGCTTACAACTAATTCATTTAGCTTTCTATTAACTTCTGCTTCAATCTGCTGACGAAGCTGATTAACTCGTTTATCAACGATCTCTGTTATATTTGGCATGAGCTCAGTAACAGAGCTGCTTGGTAATGGATTAGAAGCTTAATATACAAGAATTGAAATAAGATATAGAAAAATGAATTACAGTGGCTATTCATTATATGTCCAGGCTGAAATGATCGGAAACGAGCTTCAAGTAATCGTGTTGATTGATTGTCAGTCGTTCGAGCTCCTTAACAGATAAAGAAAATAAGACAAAGCGAATGATGTTACAATATGATAAACCTCGATGAGGACTTGGTCCCATACATTGAGTGAGTAAAGATCGTAAGCATCGAATCTCAGCAGCCCAGTTAAATCCGAACGTTGAGCATGCTGTCTCTTGATTGGATGTTTGAATATAAAGATAGAAAATAATTATTTTAAATAACATTCTCTGTAAGTATTCATCTGCATCTTTTTATATAAAATAATAAACCTTAAACTAAACAAAAGCTGAGAAAAATAGAAAAAACAAAGATAAATGGATGAAATAAGAGACGAATGATGAGCTATCTTATCCATTGAGCCTGAATGATTGGTCAAAAGCAAGTTATTCGGTCTAATATTATAAAAACAAAAGAGAGAAAAAAAGAAGAAGAGAAAGGGAGAGAGAGAGAAAGAGAGAGAGAGAGAGGGGGGGGGGTGCAAGATATAGAGAGAGAGGGAGGGTGGAAGATATGTAGAGTGCAACAGAGAGAGAGAGAGAGAGAGAGAGATCAACTATTAATGAAACATATGAATGAAAATGATTTTTAAAATAATATAATCAGATTAAAGCAATTTTATCATTTTCAATGTTGAAAAATTTCTATTTTTTGTGTTTCAAAAAATTTTTCAGAGTGTTGATAGAAGAAACTGGATGAATCATTAAATTTCTTTTTTTTTTCTGTTCTGTTATTATGAATGGGCAATATGAAAGATGAAATGAGATTATGAAGAACAACCGCTTCACACGCTAGCAACTGGGGAAAATGGCTTTTCATTCACGCATCCTCCTCACGTGGATCTACGTGAGAGCATTTGTGTTGAGGAGAGAAGTAGAATGACAACACACACATACCATATGCTAATTAGGAGAATGTGATGGTTAAGTGAGTTGAATGAGAATGAGAACATCTGCAAAAATGATTTTTGTGTTTAAAAATCAAAAAATTCTTGATATACACAGACATACAGACAGATTCACGCACATTGGAATGTTTATTACTTTTTACTCTTTTGCCGATTGTCTTATGACCAAACGTTTCTGTCTTCTAAGAAAGACAGAATGAAAGCGGAAGAAGGGAGGAGGAGAGGTGGACAGAGCAACAGGTTGGATTGTCGAGAAGAGAGAAGAGAGAGGAGAAGTGAAGAAGAAGAAGAAGAAGAAGAAGAAGATGTGTAGAAATGAAAAGTCGTTCTTTCAATATCTGTTCAAACCATAAGGAGACTTCTCTCTTGAGTAGGCTCAAGTAACAGCCCCGCTCATCATCAGTCTCCAGATGGTTTTCATTAAAATTACAGAAGGAAAAAAAAACAACATCAAGATAAAGCTAAAAAGTTTTTTTTTGTAAAATTTACATAAAAAGGATGACATGCAGCTGGTTGGCAGAGGCAAAGTTCAATCAAAAATGGCTTTTTTTATTTCATTCTCATCTTCATTTAACAAAATAAATTGAAAAGCGAATAAGAGGATAAAGAAAGAAAAACTTTTGTCAACCTTATATCCCATTAACCAATGTGAAATCTAAGTTTCTTAAATAAATTGACGACATCCAGCTTAAACACTCTGATAATAAATAGCCGACTCTTCTCACGTCTTACACAATCTTAACCGATTTTGATGGCTGATCCTTCAGCTTAAAGACTCAACTTGAACATTCTTTTTCTTTTTCATTTATATCTGGACGTTGCTGATGATTGGATGGGTGTGTTGGTGTCTCTGTGTGTGTGGTTGTGTGTATCTGAGGATGCGTGTATATGTCTTGGACATAGCGAAAATGAAAGAGGATGAAGCTTCAATGAACACACACACACACACACAATCAGACGGAAAAGAAGAAGAAGAAGAAGAAAAAAAGCGGAAAATGAAATGAACACAAATCATATGTTAACCAATGTTTTCATAAAAAAGAAAAATCAAAAAAATAAAAATGAATTGTGTTATCATCAACTAATGGAAACGCCCGCGCTGTAAGTGAGGAAGAGGAGAGATTCAGATTTGGCAATATGCCAATTGGTAGTTTACTCAACTACACTCACTGCGACTAATATGGGTTTGATCTCTGAATAAGAATGTGTGTGAGCAGAGATTGTATAGTTGATGAAGATCAAAATGAAGTTTTTTTGAGAATCTGCTTCAGTCACCGGAATCGTTTGGAAATGAAAGACGGCCTTTGCTTGTCAGTCATCTTATCTGATTGCTCTTTTCATCTCGTAGTTTTAGCTTAATTCTGTTATACATTCCAATGAATGATATTAAGCTTTTCAATCTTTTTATTTAAAAAAAAAGAAAGATTGAAAGGTACTTAAGAGGAGTTCTCATCTATCAGTTTGATTAAGCATGTAGGGGAGTTGGGGAGGGAGTACGATATTCATCCTCTGAACGTGTTGCTCTCCGTTGAGATATGTGAAGTAAGTAAGATAGTAAGGTAATGTGAGAGAGTGTGAAGAGAAAACGATAGTATGAGTTCAGTTCAGATGGTCAACTAGTTGAAGATCAGCGGGTGGCTGATTAGCATTTTTGCAAAATATTCATTCAGCTGTCTATTGAACAAGCAGTTAATAGACAAATCACTTTCTTGTCTTAATACGATTTATACAGTATGAGGTAAGAATGGAAAAAACCCTTCCATGAGACAAGTTAATCGACAGCTGCATCAAATGGTGGCAGTTGCATTGCTTCCCATATATGGTTTTCATCTGTTGAATGATTTGAGTTGTGTCAGACAGCTGAATTATCCGTCATGATTTTCCAGAGATTTGTCATCGTTGTCGTCTTATGTCGTTCAGCACTTTTCATATTCGAAAATGGCAGATGATTGGGATTTGAAATAGAAAAGAGCTGATGAAGGTGAGATATATCTCATAGGTCATGAGATATTCATCACCAATCATATTTAATTAAAGAAGAAAACACACGATGAAACAATGAATTGAGAAACCTTTGAGTGTGTGTATGTGTATGTGTGTGAAGGCTCATCATCACCTTCTACTCCTCTTCATCCCTCCTACGTCTCACGTTTGGTACGTCAGCCGTTCTGCTCAACATTCTCAGCTTGCCGGATTATGTTAAAAATTAATTTCTTTTTTTGTTCTCTTCTGTCTTTTTTGGAAACACACAAAAAAAAGTGACGTCACACACATACACCCAGACACCAAGACAGCTTGAAACTCAGGAAAGCGTTCAGACGTCATGAACGGAACAAAGCCGGTTATCTGTCATTCGGATTAAGTTAGAAACGAATCCGGTGGTTCAGTGCTATCTACCTTCTTGAATATATATTTTTGATGAAAACATCCCGAGAATTATGCGAAAAATTCGTTTCCTTGTACTATCATCTACCTACTTAAATGGATAAGACGGCCGATTTCCATTTTTCTTCATCTCGAATTCATATTTCCTTGTTTGGCTATGCATGTCTTCTATTATGTTCTTATTGTGCTATTTTATGTTTTAAAGCCAAATATGCAGTTTATTGGGTAATTTCCGATAAAGGAGTTAGAGACCTGACCAACATGTCTTCACCTCATTCTCTCTATTTGGATAAAGGAGTGTCAATGATGCAATTGCTTTTAATTTTTTCTGTGGTCGAGTAACTTATCTTATGTTTGTATGCTTGTCACCTATCAAAAGGTCTTAAGTATTTCATAGCAACCTCTATACTCTCTTAAGAGAGATTGAGAAAGTGATAGAGAAAGTATGGAGAGAGATGAGAATCATTCAAGTAACTCAATACTCATACTACTTATGCAATCCATATGACGCTTTACTTTTTCATTTCTTAATCAACCAACCAAGTTAGAGATGGTTGTTTGTAAACCTTCCTCCCCATCCTCCCCCCCCCCTAACCTCTCTCTATCACTCTCAATCTCTCTCTTCCTACTCCTCATTGTCTGTCAATGTATCCTATATGATATAGTAAAAGAATAGAAAAGTAATTCCTTTTTATTTTTCTTCCTTATACATCTTTGAATGCCAAAGAACGTTCTCGCAGATTGAAAGCATTGAGACCGACAGTCAGATAGTGACCGATATACATACATTTACAGATCGATTGGGTCATCGTTCTGGCATAACTCGTAAACAACTTTGGCACACATAATGTCATCATCCACATCGTCATTTCATCACCTTCAAACTCTGTCCCTCTCTCTCTTCATCTATCTATCTCTTGGCCTTTCTTGTGCTCTCAAAGACTATTAAAGTAAAAAAAGTGAAAATAGTTATGTTGATAGAGCATGCGAAAGAGAATGAAGAACGTACTCATCCTTCTTTCTCAACAAGAATATCCAATGATCTGATCATCCAAACAAGCACCGCAACATTCCACGTAAGGAAGAGATCAAAGAATATCCGAAAATCCTTCTGATTTAAACATTTCCAAAAAACGAAAGAGAAAAGGTTAGCACAGAAAAAAAGTTTCTTTTGTAATACACGAATACAACATTTAACTATTTTCTTTTTATATTCTCTTTTTATGAAAAAAGAAATGAAGATGTAGAAAGCCTAAAAGGGAGAGAGAGAGAGGGGGAAGAGAGAGAGAGAGCAAGAGAGAGAAAGAGAGAGAGAAAAAGTAGGAGGGAGCAATTCCTTTTTCATATACTTACAGCAACTGCCAGCATCGTTGTTCCTCATGATCGGCTTGTTGGCGCAATTTGCATATCGTTAGAGCAGATGGTCATTGTGTCTTCATTCCATACTCTCTCTCTCGCTTACCGTACAAAGAAACGGCTGCTCATTCTTTTTCTTTTTTTTTTATTTTATTTTTTTGTATGCAATTCTGTTGCTTTTGTGGAAAGATATCCTCATCGTTCTTAATCAATCAATCATTTTCTTTGATTTTTTTTGTAGTTTTCTCGAGAATGAAGACGAAAAAAAAAGAAAATATAGATGTTTCTAATCATCGACATCGTTGTGAACGGCAATGATAGAGCTTCTCCGAGAAGGCTATTGCTCCTCCTATCCCCCCCCCCCTCCTCATACCACTCTTCATCATACTTACCATTTGCTTGATTATGAAAAAGCTTTTCTTTATTCTTTCAACTGTATAAGCGGTTTCCTCTTACTACGTTTACTAAATCTCATCTGGCTCCCCCTCAATTTCTCAGAGACTGATCCCCCCCTGCAGTCCCCTCCCCTCTACCTTTCTCCCTCCTTCTTTCAGTCAACACCTTTACTCCACTTGCATGCAATCTTCACATTCAGCTGTTCAAGAATTTCATACATGTAAAACCATTTATATACGATTTGTTCCTACTAATTTTCTAACCAAAATCAGTAGTCCGCCCAACAGTCGGCTGAGTGCCATAGCAGATGCACCAGCTGTACGTCGTAACCCTCACGTCGGTCAAGTCTTTCTATGGAGCCGATGATTTGGATATTGACGTCACATCAACCTCTCATATTCTCTCTTTCAAATACTTTTTTATACATTACTTCGTTCACATAAAATACTTTGTGCATAGATATATCTATTGACCTTCTAATATATATATTATATATTATATGTATTATATATATGTTAGTTGTTTATAACTTGATATTTTCTCCAAATATGGAGAAATGAATGAAATGATTTTGATATTTATCATAAACAGCTTATATTTGAATGTTTGAATATAGAAAGCCTGTTTGAGGCATTATAAGCTTTTGGCAACATTCCCATATATGCCTCTGTGTATGTGCCTATGCGTATGTATGTGTGTGTGTGTGTGGTAATGTGCGTGTGTGTGTTCACAGGTAATGTTCATCACTCACTGCTGGATTTAACACTTTTTCTTCTTCGCTTCTTCTTTCTTTTATTTTTCTTTCACATTCATATCAAACATCCAGCCATAAGCAGATTGAATACTCTTTGCTGTCTTCCGAAACACCTCATAAGCATCTTTAGTTTTTCTTTTTTCTTTTTATTTTTGTTTATTTGTTCAGCGTCAACAGTCATGTGTTTTGATGTTACAAACAAAAAACATATTGTTATTGATTGATAATTACAATCTGATGTAAAGATATGCAAATTAGGCGTATGACGCACTTCACGTCACGCTCAGTCAGAGCTCATTTGGTGTGCATGCTGACGCTCAGATACGGTTGCTTACTCTTTCATTTCCAAATCCTTCATCTTTATTTTTATATTTTTTTGGTCTCTCTCTCTCTATCTTTTCATTCATAAATGTAAAAGTATTATTAATTTTATTTTTTCAGAAAGTTTTATTAGACTTAATGAGAGTGTGGGAAAGAAGAGAGAAGTTAGAGAGCTCCAAAAGGGGTGGGACTATGAGCTGTCTCCAGATTATATAGGTAGAGATCTCGGAAACATACAGAATATTTATGAATAAGATAATATGAAGTAAGAGAGTGCAAAGAAATAAAGATGGAGAGATGAGTGTCTCTGCGGTTGGGTATGGGTCGGGCTACTTCTCCTGGGTCAGCCTCTGCCAGTACTTGCGCAACCTAGTCACCTACCACACTCCTAACCTAGTCTGCTCCAGCTAATATTCAGATTTTGCCATTTATATACAATTAGAAGTAAAAATGTGTATTTATAAAGATGAAGTTATTGAATTAATCTTTGTGAGCTCGTTGTCTGTTTTCCAGTTGGTTTCCGTCTCGTTTCAGTCGAACATTGAACTGCCTCCAATCACACACCCCATTCTCATTCAATAACACTTCAACATTTTCACTTTTTCTTCATCTTCTCTCACTTCTTTCGCTTCTTCAGCTTTTTTGAGCTTTTCCTGTTCACTTCATCTTGGCATTTTTTTACTCAAAAACTGAAAGACCCGAAAAGGACCAAGGTCGCTAACGGCAGCAGCTGTCTGTTCAACATGTGGTTGACAGTCTCGAAATGGCCATTTGGTCCTTAAACCAATCCATGTCTTGTCCCTCATTCGCTTTTTTCTTTGTACATCCCTCATCTACTCTATCTTTCCTGTTCATTTTCTTTTTTTTTCTTTTTTGAAATTTGAATATAAACTTCTGAACATTCTCTTATTGTTGTTATGACATTTCATATTCACAATCTGATGTATTATAGAAAGAAGGCTTTTGTCAAATGGCCAGTTCATTTGGTCTATTATCATATTCAATGGATTCATCACAGGTATGCTTGTGTTTCATCTATCTTTTCATCTCATTCTCATCTTGTAGATTATTGAGCCTATTCCGAAAAAACTTCGTTATGATATCGAATGTATCACGTCTACCAAAAAAACCATCTGTACCGAAAATAAGGTTAGAAACTTTTTCTTTTCACACTCACTTTCCTAAAAAGGAGAAAAAAAAGAGAATGTGAAAGATAGAGAGAATGAGAGAGAGAGAAAGTGAGTGGAAGAAATAGAGTGAATGAATGGAAGATGAAGAAAAAGAGAATGTTACCCAACAGCCTGAAAATGGTCTTAGATCTTACCGACTGTAACATAAGATGCCCCGTACTGACTCTTGACCATAACATTCGCCCATGATGGTTTATCCTACTTGCAACAGGCTCCAAAGCCGCCATCAATCCGCTCATTTACGGATCCTTCTGATCTTATAAGAGAGATTATAGTTATATTTTATTATTTACATAATAACAACTCAACAAACATAAAACGTTTATAATTTCATTAACAATAGCAAGTTTGCCGACGTAATAGTAAACTTCATAACTTGGCACACATCCAACTCCAAAGCATAAACATCACATCATTTTGCTATTTTAGGAAAACAGTCACTGTCATCGAAAAGTGAAAGTTGAAGCTGAGGATGTGAACGTAATATCCAATGTGACATCAGTTATTCTTCCGCACATGCCATCATCCTCCATATCATCTGATATCAAAAACAATCATATGGCGTCATCATCATCACATACCTCCAGTCCTCGCACGTCATCTGAACGTGATTTTGTTGAAGCTCATGATGAGAGCAGTGACATTACTGTTAAATCGTTCACAAACTGGAATCCAAACGGTTCATTGGCATTACGTGATCAGAAAAATACATCAGAGCTTACACCTGGACGTTCATTAATTGAATACGAAGGCAAATTCAATAGGTAATATTAATATAATTACATTTTTGATAATTATAAGCGTAATTTGTAGTTTTGCCGAATTTGAGGAAGTATTTAACAAATGGAAAGATGCTGAGTTTCATCCATTCCGAGTTGCATCCTCTGAAACTCTCAAGAATCCAGATGGATCAATCAATACAACACACAAATACCGTTATGTTGTTTATCATTGTGCACATTATGGAAATCCTCGTATGCGTGGTAAGTCTCAATATGCTAATTTCTTAAAAATATGAAAAAACATGCATTTTTGACGTAAAATACGTGAACCACTAAAGTTCATTGAGAGTCTCATCAATTGGCATATAACGCCTTGACAGCGAACGGTTGAAAACGGCTGATGAACTATTGATTTGTCATCCATCTGTTAAATTATGTGAAAGTCATTGTTCATCCCTCAATTATCTTCATCAAAATCTTTTTTTGTGTATCGTCGGTCTCCTGCCGTCCTCTTCCTTCCTCTCTCTCTCTCTTCTCCAAAAATCTGATGACATGTGTTGACGAAATGTTGAATATTATTCCATTTGTTCCACATAATATCAATCAAACATACAAAAATTAACAAAAATTCCATCAACACATGTACTAATTGATTTGTCATTTAGTTCATATAATTACCTGAACTATAAGATATATAAATTAGATTTATATTGACAGCTGGTATGTCATCTGCTAGTGACACCTTTCAATATTCATTTACATAAATATGTTTTCTTACATTTATAATTGAATGTTGATTATACAATCAGCTTACGTCATAATCAATTATGATTTGTCTGAACTCTCAGTATTGGCCTATTTTCGTTCTGCTCAACTTGTGTGCTCTAATCGCATTTTATAATGTTCCGGGTACTGACCTTCAAATTCAGCTTTCGACCTTCAATCTTAAACCGTAATCTATGAGTAGAAGCCAAGTTGTCCCATAGCATCCAGGTGTTCCTCATCCACTTAAATCTCTTGCTTATAAAAACCTTGAAATGAAAAATTTTTGCATTGAACTTTCATTGCAGGAAATGGAAAGCGTCCCAATCAAACCTATTTACCATGTGGTTGCAACGCCATGCTCCGATTGAATTATAAATTTTCTGAGAGAGCATTACGTATCACTACTTTGATTACGGAACACAATCATCCACAGAATGAGGAATATTACAACAAATCAAAAAAAGCGGCAAAAGGTTCGTTCTTCAATGACCGAACTCATCATTCATATATATATTTACAGCTGCTCGTCCAGCTCCCATTAAAGCGAAACGACGTGCCACGTTAGCACCAGCTCAACAGCAAACTGTCCTTCACAGGCCTCAGCCTATCCAACAGTTGCCTCAGTCGATTCATTTGCGACACTCTGAATCTCCATCGTCATCTGAACAAGAAATTCATTCGTCATCACCTTCATCAGTTGTGTCAACAGCTCAAAGCAGCCCAGCTTTACCTGATTTGCCGAGACCAATTCCCTTGATGTTGCCTAATCCCGGTATAGCAATGCCAGCTGCACTGCCTAATGCAACAACTGTTATGTACCAACAACAGGTATATAATTTAATAATAATTTATAATATAGATTTATTATTCAGCTACTGAATGTTCTCCTAGCTCAACAGAATCTACTTCAGCAAAAGGAGAATTTGCAACTTCTAGCACAACAGTTGCAAGTCCAACAACTTCAACTACCATATGCTACAGCTTCATCAGATCTGTTAGTCTCGGTAATAACTATACAAGATAACACAATATTACCATGTTTTGTTTCAGCCCATGACTGACATGAAGAAGGATATGATCTCTGTATCCAGTGCTCAAGTGTCCTTGAGCTCAGATAATGACCAAAAAATTTTTGTAACCGTCTAAGATTTGTATATACCATTACATAAGAAACAGTCTGGTGTTCTTAATCCCTAGGTGTTAAATCCGTTTAGAGTACTAATTATTAACTCTCAGAGACTTTCAATATTGAGGAAAATGATCTCATCAACCTTTTTGCTCACATTTTCTTCAACATTGGCCCTTTTGTATAGTTTCTGTCACTATTGTTGTTTATATCTGACCGCTAATTGTACCTCAACTTGACAACCTCTAATTAATAAGAGAACGTCTTGAATCATTGCACGACCGCTAACTCTTGCAAGTCGTCTAGAATGACTTCACCACCGCTAACATGCGAAGAATGTTACGAATGATTTCATGAGCAAGTTAACGTTTCCCCAAAACATGATCAAATCGACTGAGACAGGAAGAAGCCAGTCTCGATACTCTTTGGGAAACTGTACATTCAGCCAGTATTTATATGGGTCATTTTAGATTTATTACATGTATTTCGTATCTACGGCTATTAATAATTTATTTTTGTATATATATATTTAATAATTATTAAATAAATTCTTTTAAACAGCTTGTTCTTTTGATTTTGTGCTCAGAATATTTGAAAACAACGTTTGAAAGCTTTCCACAGAGGCCAATGCACTGTAGTCAATGAACCTGTAACGTGTGCGTGTGTGTATGTATGAATGCTACATCAATCCATCACTTACCTTATCCTTGCGAGATCTCTTGGCGCATATGCTCCCTTGACAACAATCGTATCTTGAGGCTTTTTGTGTCCATATTTCTTGAAAAATAAATGTTCTAAGCATTTGTCATCGTACGAACCTGTTGAAGAACACTTGCATATCTCATCAAATCTGGAACATGCACCATCTTTCCTCCAACGTTCACAAGAGCAAAACGAGCATCCTTAACATGGTTCAATATACTTCCAATTACAGTATGATAGGTATGGTACCTTGATAGCTCGTCCGAAGTAATGAATCTTTCTGATATATTGAATACCAACCAAATCGATACACATAGTTCTGAAATCGGAGAGAAATTTTCAGAAATAAAAAATTTCTTACGTTATAGCTAATCCAACAATTATATAACATAAATCTAATAAATAAAATTCTCTGTTCATAGGCACAATGTCCCCAAAACCAACCTGAAATAGAAATTTTTCGTTATCAGAAATGCTATTCAAGTACTTACAGTAGTCATTGTGATGAAAGTAAAATAGAAACCGGAGAAGAACTCCCAGTTTTCCCAAGAACCCAACAGTACGGCTCCGAGAGCAATGTAACCAAGTAGGATAACAACAATCAAGCTCATCGGAATGGAAATATAATGCTCCAAGCCCTTTAAACCACAAGAATTGCAATTCGGATCATATGTAAATTGGAAACCTGCATGAGATGCTCTCCATCTCTTGTAGTTTCTTCAGATGTTGGTACCGCTGTATATTGACTTCTACACTGACTTCGAGCTTTTGTATATCTAACAAGAGAATCAAACTACAACATTTAGAAAAGACCAAAAACCTCGTATACAGCCATATGATATTTTCAGATAAAAATTTACCGATATCGGCTACTGTAATAAGAATCAGTGGAACACCAAGTAGTGCATATGCAATACAGAACATGCGTCCCTGCCATGTCATTGGTACTAGGTTTCCATAGCCTGTAACATAGGATGTTACGGCTTAGTTTGTCAAGAAGGCTATTAGTACCGATAGTGGTAAGTAGTGTTGCTGTGAAAAACAATGCAGTGATGAATGTCCAACTATACTGTAATGTTATTTTATTGTTTCAATATATTTTTTTCTATAATTTACAGCTTCTTTATCTCCTCCAGGTTTCAGATGCTTAGCACTGATGTAATGCGTATCAAAAGCCTCGAATAATATCCTCGTCACATTATCCACATATTCTGACGCAACGTCTTCGATGTAATCTTCAACACATGAAAATAATAGAAAACGTCTTAGGTTAATATCACCTGTGCTATGTCCAGACTCTATTAGCTCCCATATGTCGTCGAGCATTTTTTCTTTTTGCAAATGGAACTTACGTATCGAAAGTTCACGTACAGCCATCTACACTTTGCAGTAGTGTCGTTAATCTATTATTAAATATAAAATACCTCATGTGGTCTTTCCAGATTATAAAATGCTACAGCTCCACCAATCACATAGAATAGGGAAAGAAGTATCAAACCAACATGGGGAAGGATTATTCGAGCATATTTCTTCCATACGGACATGTCAGGTACTTCAAGCTTAAATACAAAATGATAAGATATATCAAAATATGATTATAATGATGTGTAATTTACAATTTCTCTTGCTGACGGGAATCCTATAGTTAGTCCGACTTTCATTTTTGAATAGGAAGGGAGATGAGAAAAACGCTCAAATGAGAAAAGAAAGGGGGATAAGATGAGAAGGGAGGGGCGTCATCTTTGTCAATTTTTCCACACAAAAGCATTATTTTACCTCATTTCTGTGCATGTTCTCATTCAATAATTGATAATTCTCTCTTGATCTACGTTCGTTTCTACTTAAGTTACGACGATAGCCATAGCCAGTTGCTGATGATGATGAAGCATGAAAGATGCTTGGTCGTGTATGAGTATACGGCAAATGATGTGTGATGAACGGCATTGCTTGAAGTACTTCTTTAGAGAATTACTTCATTGATTTCCATTTAACTATTATGGAATAAAACTTTCTTTGAACGTTTTTTTTTCTTTCAATGAACTTTCGATTACATAAGCTCATCAAAACGACTTTTTTAGCTTTGCAGCCATAACTCTCGATTCAATCTAATCCATGTCAGTATACGTTTAATTGATTTTGACCATGCCAGACATATTTTACTTGAAAAACATCAAAAACATTCACTATTTCAGCGGGTGAACTGCTATTTCAGCTTTTTTATCTCTCAATCCCCCAAAGAGATCATCTTGTCAGCGAAAAGCTCAATCTAACTCCTAAAGAAGCTGAAGATGAAAAGTAAAGCTAGAAATCATCAGCTTGAGAAGGGTATAAATCTTCTAATTTGCATATCTCAGCTACGTGATTACACGTGCCTGACGTGGCATCATTTGACGTGAATTAACCAAAATGAACACTTTCATTTTTCACGCAGAGAAGATCGGTTGATTTAATTTCTCTCTCTTCTTCAGCACGTTGTTCAATACCAATTTTCGAAAAATTTGTGGCAAAACTTGGATTGTTAAGCTAAGAGTTGCCAATTTATGATGAAATTTGTGGACGAACCTAAACGGAAAATGCGAAATATGGCCGGAGGGCATCTATTTTGTTCGAAAGAAATTTTTTGATAAAGGAGAAGAAAAAAAAAAGATTTTAATAGTTAAATTTTATGAGGGATTTTCGAAGGGCTTTGGATGGAAAAAAAATGTTTTCTGTCAAGAGTTCTTCTAAAGAACGAATTGCTTTGAGTAGAAGCTAGGAGGGATTTGAAGAGGGATATATTGGCTTACAAGGGATCATGCTATGTCCATTATGTGTTGGCTAAACCAGGAAGGAACGAAATGACCATAAGATTAGATTGATAATCGATTGTTTAGTCGTTTTCAAAGAATATTTTATATTTTTAACGAAAAATGTTTTGTAAAGAAAAGGAAGAAAAATGACAAAGGAGTGAACGATCTGTTGGATTGAGCTTTTGCTTTTTGGATATTCCCATGGGGGAGATTATTGGAGTCATCTATGTGTCGGGCAATCTATTCGCACTACAATGACTTTTTGTTAGTTTAAATAGAATTTCAATGAATTTCGGACAACTAGCTTCAGACTCAGCGTATATGAGCATATAGAGCATTACCTGTATATTATAGTTAATAGAGATGAATAAGAATCGATGTAAGAAGTACGTTTACTAAAGTGTTAATGAGTATTGGGGTCTAGTCCCAAGAGAAAATGTAATTGAAGAAAGACGGAGGAGAGGGAGAACATGCTTTCTTCAAGTGACTGACGTAAAGAAAACTTCATTAAATCGAAGAAATACTTAAAAGACAAGGAAATTGAGCCGATAGCAAAAAAGTTAAAAGTAGAAAAAAACACTTTTATACAAGGTGAAGTGAGAGAGAGTGAGAGTGGGTGAAGAGGAAAACTTAATTTCATAGACAAGTTGTTTTTTCCTGCTCAATTAAGATGAGTCTTACAAAATATCTCCCGTCTTTCTTTATAGAATGATATGTGCTTGGATTTGGTTAACTTCAAGATGGCTAAGTTAGTTTTGAGATCTCAACTCACTTGTTCGCCTTCCAGTAATTGGTCCAAATCCCATGGATTCGGCTCAGGTAGCTGAGTATACTCAGCTGATATACGATCCACTAACATTGCCTATAATTAATATAAGAATGATAATGAAGAGTAAAAGGAGCAATGCACGCGAAGAGGAAGCCTTAAGGAAAGAAGGAAATTGACTCAAATGTCCGGATTTTCAACTGTTCGAGGGTCTCATCTGGCTGATTGCCAATTTGTCAACTCTTTTCGCCAATTTCAGGCACTGCTACTACATAAAACCTTAAAAGAGAAATAGAGAGAAGGATAGAGATAGAGAGAGAAGGAATCTCTTTATTTCATTTTCTCTTTTGTATCTTTCACTATCTCAATTACATTTTATTTCAAGTAAACTTTCTTCTTAATGTTCTTATACAACATGGAGTATGACCATCTGTTATTTCCCGTAATACTAAGGCAAATTCATTAAAAACAATAATATATTTCAGAGCAATCGACTATCATCTCTGGTATTGTTAATACTAAGCGCTTTTCTAATTCCATATGAGCTTTCTTCTGAAAAAAAAGAATATAATATGATTATAGCCTAATAAGGCAAATATTACTTCTAGAAACTGTAATCCTGATAGTGTGCATTGACCTGCTATTTCGAATTTCTTTATGTATGGCAATGGTTTTTTCTTTTTGATTTTCTTCACCTAAACTCTCTCATTGCATTCTTATTCCCTTGTGTCAACTCACTAATTTCTTTTTCGGTTTCTCTTCCTCTTCTGATGGGCTTTCTACTGGTTGTTTTTTTCTTTTGACGACCTTCTTCTTAACTTTTGGACGTTCCTATAGATGAAAAAAACATATTTGAAGAAGCCATTTTTCTGAAATGCAACCGCTCTTCACGCCATTCACAAAATAAATGATTATCACACATGAGAGTGTTGACGTGAATTACGTGTTGCTCAATTTCAAATGATAAACTAACTTGTTCAGAAGTCATATGAAGGCTTTTAACTAGATTATCTACAGTTTCTATTCTACAACAACTTATTCTGTACGTATCTAGGGGTAGATGAGAGACAGGTGAATTCCCATCTGAGTATAAGGACCAGTCTCTGCAATCACAGTGTTCATATGTGATATGTTAGTAGCTCAAAAACCTTATTGATACGTTCTTCGGCATAACTGATGTTTCTTTAAGGGCATTATAGAGTTCGTCTAATCGTAATTGTGGCAAGTCGAATTCTGTACAAATAATTTTAATTTTATTTAATGGTATAGGTGGTAGATGACGTATTTGTTCGTAGATCTAGAAAGAGGATTCATTAGTAGTTGTAGTAGATTAATAAAGAGAAAACTAATTTACCAGTTTACTCGTTGGCGAATGTAGTTCTAAGTCGATGACAGCTTTAGGGTATCGGTCGTAAAAGGATGCAATAACTTTGGAAACATTAGTATAATCTCTCTTATTTATGTGAACTTGTATAGTGATGGTATGTAGTTCCTTCAATACATTATCTTCTTCATCATCATCATATTTCGATGTTTGCTTACAGTGAATAAGGAGTCCTCAACTTCCAAATAATTTTTTAATGTTTCGTCGCTGCAGGAGACTATCAAAAGCCATAAATCTTCGCAATTACTAAAGTATTTCCTATATGATTCTTTCGCTATTGATACCTATAACATGAATTTTCAATTTACTTTGCTACATATCACATACCTTCTTCATTAAGGCGAGATACTCGATGTCAGTCGTCATTCTTGCGAGAGACAAACGACTACGACGCAATATTCCAGTCAAAAAGTCCACAGAAGATAAAGGACATTGAACTGTGAGTCGACGGAAGGCTTTCATATGAGAAGCCAAAGGATAAGAAGAACCAAACTTGAAAAATGGTAGGCTTAAAGACAAAAAACCAAAGATAATTTTGTTTGATAGCTGTTGTAAGTAAGACTGAAGTCAGCGAAAAGCTACGTAAGCTTTGGTCAAGAGTATCGACAACTACGAGTGGCAACTTACTCTTTCTATTGTAATCTCATGAATCTCTCTTCGCATTTTCGCATGTATTATAGTTTGCCAGCGGCGACAGACACCTTCTAGCGGGACGAGCTTAAACAAAGAATTTGAATGATCAAAGTTAGTATTTCAAAACCTCTTTATAATTTAAATAACCGAAAATCTTTCGCAAAACAACATCTGGCATATTAGGAATGATACGTCGTGGTCGTCGATAGGTCGTATAATTAGCATAAGTAGTACAGAACATTTTGAAATAACTTTTAAAATGAGAAATAAGTCTTGTTGGGTGTGGATAAATTGGCTTAACTTCTCCTCTCTCTTCCCCTCTCCAATCGCCGAGTGGAAGAACAAATAGATGAAAAGCAATGGATAATCATTAGCTAATGTAACAAAAAAGCTTAAGGATAACTATATAAAAAGCGTCATTCATCTTTGCAGACTATCAAGATGATTCTATCGATTCCTATCGTTTATGTTTGAAATTCCTGTAAGGACTTAGGTTCTGTACGAATTGCATAAACATCCGAAATGATACAAGACACACTGGCTCCTTTCGCAAACCTTTAAACTCTCCTCATCTGTGTGCAACTCGAAATCCGTCCAGATAGTCCGGAATATCCGGATAACAGGCTTGACACACCTTTGCGTTTGATCTCTATTTGAAACATTGACTGTTCAAAGAATTCCTTAAATGGCTTTGACAACAGGAAACATGTTCTGCAGACTTAGACGATTCCCACGACATGTACATACATTTGTTTGAAAATTCAAATGTACATTTGAAAATGATAACCCAAGGTCAATGATCTTCTTCCCAATCTAAATAGATTGAGCTGGTTGTAATGTAAATATTATTACTTTTGAAAGATACATATAACTTCCGATAATTGAAACAGTTTCCAAATGTGCTATAATGACAATAGCAATTGCATATGAAAGACACATTATTCTATTGTTTTATGAATGTTTTTACATTATTTTCATATTTGTAAAGCTTTCGCTATGGCTTATGGACAAAGAAAGTTCAAGTGTGACCGGCTTGGTGTAACCACAGACTGACTTTGAAGAAAATGGCGCTGCTAACCCCCACGTCGTCCACAACCTACCAGGAGGTGATGACGGCTGATGCAAATTCTTTTAACCATCTCTTGTTGCCATCGTTTCAAGAGGGTGTCGCCGTCTGAATAGGTGTCTTCTGATTTACTTCTAAATGATTGTCTCGATAGTGTACACTGTTGCCCTACTGTTCCTATCAGTCACAAACGCTGATGTAGTAACGTAAGTGTCTATTCTCCATGTTGATGTATCTTTCGTTTTCAAGAGAATATGTTGATGAAGCTGTAGAATACAAGCCTTTACAAACAAAACATGAGCAAATTCGGAAGAAGATTCAAGATAGTAATTGCGGAACGTTGCTCAACTCATCCATTGTTGCTCAACTAGATGATTTATCTGTCGTCGTAATGGGAAACTTGGAACATCCCACAACATTGATAGTTTCAATGGAACGAGTAAGTGATGAAGTTTATGAATGAAAGTTACATTTGCAGAGAGTCGATGGTTTCTTCTTCACCCTATTAGAAGACTTTTGCAATGATGCCAACAATGAAATCAAGGATCTTTTGTCTCATTCAACTCTACTGTTCTTGATGCCAACGAGAGAGATGGAGGTTTGTAATTCATTCTTATCAAAATGTATATTCAAGTTTCTAGAAACATAATTGTGATGAATATATGAATGTATCAACAGAGGAGGCTAATATCTATAAGTTACATAAAGTTTTTCGTTTCGATTTTGTTATGATGTTTGGCACCGGTGGCGTCAAGGTATGTAGCTCTTTGGTTTTCTTAAGATGTTTCAATGTTTGTAGCTTCGATACATACAACAGAACAACGGCTTGGCAGAAACACTGATGAGGAGATATCAGTTGCTTCATCCTTCCATGGGCTTACACAATACAGATGTTTGTGCAGGTTATAACCTTCTGTCTCGAAGAGGTGGCTTTTTCAACTTTTGACCTTTGCATCTTCTCTTTTCTTGTTAAGGCACGAATGGTTTACTCGTGAAACAACTTCAATGGAGTTCTCTCATTCATGATTCAAAAGATGTTTTTGTACGTCAATTGAATGGACTACTCATATTAATTGCCTGTTGTTACGAAGAAATTAATGTGGACTTTGCCTATTCAGAAAACCGTAAAAGTATTTTAGAAACGCTCAAACTAAGGTGAATATGACACACAAATTTCAAATGTATAAGTACTTACATAGATCTACGGGAGTACATTTTGAGTCTGCGGATAAGACACTCGTTTTGAATGATGGAGGGTATCCCGCAATGAGAGTCGCAGCAAATATTAACACGTTTATCGCCTTACCGGAAGGTGAAACACATGTCAAAGTGTTTCATGCTGAGAGTAACAAGTTGATTACGGAGTTCATTGTGAAGGTGTGTTGCAATCCCATATCAGTATTAATCATATTCCTTTTCAGCTGAATGATACAAATCGATATGAACGACGACGCATTCCTAAGCATCTTGATTTGCTCTGATCGCATGAGTGTGTGCAGATTTTAGATATTGTAAATAATGTTGATTTCATTTGTTTTTTCTTTCTTCAATGATATGAAGTTATTTTGTTATCTTTTGAACTCTTAATACGTCCGTTCCAATTATGGAATCGCAATTTCCCTTTCGTTTCGCAGCACTTTCAAGAGTGATTTCCTTTCCGATTCTTAGTGTCAAAATAGCATTCGTTAAAATAAGAACCACCGCTAACTAGAAAAATTTAATGAGGAATGAATGTTGAGGAATGAAGTGGATGGTTAGTGATAGCAAGTTTCATGTTGAAGTTTTGAAATGAAAATTAGCGGTTGTTCTGCTGTTGCAAGTATCAACGTAGGGCAAAGTAGAACGCTTACATAGTTCAAGTGAAGAAACGATTCATCAACGAAACAGCAAAAACGCTTTCAGGAAGAAAGACATGCGATTTTGGTTTAATTTCGAGTAAAACCATGTGAACAAGTCACGTTTTGCAATCACAAGAAAAATGACAAAGTAAATCACTAACCCAAAAAGAGAAACATTGGTTGTATCCAAACATCAGAACGAGTACAAAACAGAAATTTCGAGTTACTTACAGTTTTGAATTATCGAAAGTGCTATTAGCATTGAGAATCGAACTAATGGTTGTGAGCGCAAGATTCGAAACTATTTTTCAGGGGTGCTAGATGTACATAGTACTTTACGCGGGTAACTGCCATTCAATTTCAGAATTTGAATATTTGAGTGAACGCAGCTATACAAACAAGACGCTGTTATAATTTCTTTACAAGTTAATCAGAAAATGATTGTAATATAGACAGCAAACGATCAATTTGGCATTCTGTGTTCGTGGTGAGCTATTGCATAAAACGTGCCCCAACTAGAATTTGAATTTCCATAGTTAAGAGCTTTACGAATAATGTAAGAGTAGAGCTTCAATTAGTAGTGATCATGATATCATTTTTCTCATTTTATATGATTGTACGTTGGTTTTCTTTTTTGCCGAACTGTGTGCTTTGGCTCTCTCTATTTCCTTATCTACTGATATCTGTTCTTTTCTCTATTTAGCCCTGAACACATAGTAGCATTCAGGTCATGATATTTCGTAGTTTTTGGTGCAATTCTTTAGTCAAATGTTGAAAATTTTCTGTACTAATATGCCTATTATTCCTCCCTCTAGCTCAACACATAATTCTGTCGCTTTTCATTATGTTTTAGAAGGTACTCTCATCACAGAGCTATTTTCGCACACTGTTCTCTTCTACCCCACGACATTCTAAGCACCGCCTATAGAACTGCGCTTCAGAGTTACTTTGCATAGTGTCTAAAATGAAGTAAAATAAAGTTTCAGAAGAAAAATGAATGAGAATCCAAAGTAAATCTCAGCACAGAGCGTTTCCCCAGACTCCCTTCCAAGGGAAGGGGGAGCCAAATGATTTCGAGCGTAAGCTTCCAACTTGAGGTAAGTACTTCAAGTACTGAATTTTGATACGGTAGTCATTATCATGCAAAGCGCGCGCAGTTTCATGGGCGGAGCATAGAATGTCAGGGGGTAAAAGAGAATAGAGCAGTTATTTTCAAACAATATTTCAGTGCCTATTAAAATGAGTTTAAGCTGTGTGTCATTTTTGGACCAGCAGTTGAAGCTTGACTCAGCAGACGATGGTTTGGTTTTCATGAAACTTCGTTCACTCTCTGTTTAGCTGAGTCCATATGTAAAATCATCGAAAACGCTTCTGCTATGCATGAACTGGTACTTCGAGGAAACACCATAGGCGTTGGCGCAGGGGAACGGATTGGAAAGGCTCTTCTAAGACATCCAGAATTAAAAGTAGTTGTTGAAAAGCTCTAGAAAACATATTATCTAATATAGAGATGCTTGTGGAGTGACATGTTCACCGGACGTTTGAAGACGGAGATTCCCCCTATTTTGGTAACGTGATTCATCTTGTCTAAGATAATACA